GTTTGGCTGTAATTCGTGTTCAAATTTAAAAAATGCTCGAAAAAGCATTGTTTTTACATTTCATTGATTTTCTGGAAAATTATAATACCTAGAATGAATCCAATAAATGCATATGAAAGCTGAATGTTTGGGGAATCCTGCAAGTATAGATACATTCCTGTGCTCTTATCGATATTGCTGTAATTCGCGTTCCTTTTATGAAATGTAGGGGGTTGGGGAGGCGCCAAATGATTACATACTTTTGAGGGAGGCGTAGTAACATCAAGTTTGGAAACCACTGCGTTAGAGCATCAAAACTATAATATCCATATTCAATTCAATCATTTCCTTTTTTGTCGATTTTGATTGCATTCTCTTTATTTCTACGGTCCACTCCGTATTTTACTTTTATTTACTTACATAATAATATACAATTTCAATATACCTCATTTCCATTTATAATTTAATATTTTGCTTATATACTATTGTTTTTATTTGTTTTGATGAAAATATTATGCAATAAATTTGTGTTATTCAATAAATTCTCCTTAAACTCAAATTTATGAAACTGTGGATTGGAGATGAAACGAAAACGAGGAGTGTTGAGGAAAAGAAAAACGAAGCGCGAAGGAACTAAGGAAAATCAGTCGGGAGAACATAAATTTGCGGGATTAGTTAACTTTGCTAAAAGAGAAATTTATAGCAGCAACTTATCCACTGTTGCGCGTGGCACTAAACCAACAGGAAGAATTTCAATAAATCTAAAGTAAGCTCGATTTATTGAAATTCTGCGACTCTTCTGCGCCCTCCGCTCCTACCGCGAATGATTTATACTGTTTAGATCAACTGATGTCCACACTAACATTACCAAATTGAATTTTTCGTAACCGTTCCATTACATCGAAGTTGATGTTGTGATACATTATTTGCATCGCCCCAACAAGGACAAAGTTAAAGACAAACACTAGAGTGGTAACTCTTCCAAAAGTTTTACATCAAGAATATAAATATTGAGATTGTTAATATACAACATCACTTACATACTTTTATTGAAGACCTTAATACAACAACGTAAACAATTAAATAATTTCAGTATATTTTTATTTTAAATGAAAAAATATTACATAATATATTTAATATGATTTACACAATGATTATTTAAATTATTATTTGATTCGAAAGTGGGTAAAATAAAATAAAGGATAATATAATGTACAATCTGGGTCCACTTCTCTGTTATATAATTCGATTGCTTGCTGTAACTATTGCAGTGTAACCAATAGTTCCGAGCTGCGGCCCTTTCCTCTCAGTGAATCTTAAGTGCAATATCTCTATATCCTTTCCGCGCGTTATCCTAGATTTGAGCACTCAGAAGGGATCTCACGCATGGCTATACGAAGCTCTTAATGTTTACTGGACATATTGGATGTTAGCCCTGTTTTCTATTTATTTTTATGTTAAATCAATATTAGAACTTTTCTTCGATATTTTGTATATATATAAGACAATTGCAGTTGATTTGTCGTAGTTTTAGTTTTAATTTCTTCATGGTTATTTCACTCAATTCATGATATTTTTAAAAAACATTTTCTTAAGAATAAATTAGTTTTCTATTTCTATTTCTATGTTTATATTATACTTGAATCAATATTTGATCTGTTCTCGGATTCTTGGTATTTACAAATGTTTCCATTTTTCTATTTCAGTTGTGAGCCAGCACTATGAGGTACAAGTATACCACACTCACGTCCTGGCCGGGAATACAGCAGTCCTGTCGTGCGTTATCCCCGCGTTTGTCAAGGAGCACGTCAGCGTGACGTCCTGGTCCCGGGACGAGTCTATCCTCCTTCCAGGATCAAATATGGGTAAGGATCGAAGGACGTAGAGAGTGCAATTAGTCAGTGACACCTGATATCGCAACCGTTGGATATGATTACGGCATATCCTTTGCAGCAAGTCGGATTCCCGTATTGATATTGACGGTGCCGAGCAAATATTTTAATTGGATCAGCATTCGTTCGACGCGATAGAAGCATGCAAATCGTGTGGACCGAAAAAATATTTTCACAGTGAGATACGTTATCAACGGGGAATCCCTGGGGCGCGGGAACAATAGAGTATTGTTTTGATTGAGTTCCTCGCGACGCGATTCATCAACAAAGTAATTAGGGGGGAAAAAAATATATATATATATGGGAATTGGAGAAAAAACCGCAACCCCACACATACAGGTGGCGGTCCCCCAGGTGGGATTATGGGGCCGAAATTTGGCGCAGCAGTAATTTATTTATTTATTGCACCACTGAATCATTGAGGGATACCTAAACTGCGATACATCGAACATCCTTCCTTTCCCTTTTCCGGTTTGCTCTATTTGCTTTTATTTATTTACTTCGTGTATATACGTGTTTTTTTCTTCTTCATCCCTTTCTCACCCTCGCAGTCGCTTTTATTCCAGCAGCTCTCTTTTCGCTCGCTGCAGATTCAATATCCTCCCGGGTACGCTACGAGATATTATATTTACATTTTAAACAGCCCTTAAGAAATAAATAGAGATATAATTTATTTATAAAAAACGACAATGAAAAAAGAAACATTGATTTTCGCTTTTATTATCATGGCCTTCTTGGCTTTCTTGTTAACTCCTTTGCTTGTCCTTCCGTATCCAGGTGGCAGGATTGTCGTCACGTACGGTTCCGGCGAGCTACACATCCGGTCTGTCCGCGCCGAAGACGGCCTGGCCAAATACTCCTGCCTCACTCTGCACATCCTTACACAGGAACGGAAACGCAGTGCACCGGCCATCCTCACAGTTACAGGTAATACAAATCTTTATACTTACAATCATCGTTCAAAACTGAAAACTTCAAACAAGTACAGTATCTTTTTATTTTTACCAAACTTCCACTAAAAACCTGAAGCAAATTAATTAACTTTCTTGAAATCTTAAAACAAACACTAAACTATTATTAAAAATGTAAATTAATAATATATTAATGCAATAATGAATTTGCTTATTAATAATGTAGGAGAATTTTAATATAAAAAAATAGAATCTTTTAATAATATTGGAGCTAGAAGATGCGGAGCAATTGGTTGGGCCCTTAAATTCTCTGGCAGAATGCAATAGTTTGCCCCCTTTCGCATTGACGGTTTCATTTCATTGCGGTTACGCGAAAGCGGAGGATCCCTTAAAATCCCTTTCAAATGCAGAGCATTATTTCATGAAAGTAGACCAAGTTCAGATGACCAAACCGGGGCGGTGGGGGAAATCCTTTGCTCTTGCCACTTCATTCCTACCCGGCATTATGTTTGTTTTCCTTTTGCTTGCCTCCCCGTATAAAGGAACCATATTTATCGGCTTTCATTGGGTGGATGGATACTTTTCTGTGGAAGCTCTTTTTATACCATTTTTTTCCCTATATATATATAGTATATAGTATACAGTATACACCAACTGCATCCTGAATATGATAGATGTACACCTAAAAGTCCATAAATCATCAATTCTCGTTCGCAATATACACCCCCAAAAATTGATTCTGATTTTTTTCTTTTCTTTTTTCAAGGTCGAAACCATCTTTGTTATATAATTCCAATGTTCCACAATTAAAATTTATTTATTTAACTAAATTTTCTTTGATATAATACAATAATAAATATAGTTAAACAAAAGTTCAGCATTGGTGAACTTTAGCGTACATTTAAATACAGATTTCAAAATGTTCATTGCATGAATGCGGAATTATTCTGGTAAAATATATGTTGATGATACCATAGTTGCATTATTTTTTAGGAAGAAAATGTGGTGAAAATGTTGTATGTTGTATGCATTTACATTACAATAAAGAAAATAATGAGATCGCTCGCAAATCATAACTTTTTAGGAGGCGGTAAAAACTATGGCGAACCCTTAGCGCCGAGGGCAAGTGTACATTGCACACGTTGCACATCATTAGTTCAATTTTCACATTGATTTTTCTTTTTCTCGCACATTTCCCCCCTGGTTATTCCCGTTTCCTTTTACACTTCCCTTGTGTTTCCGAACCCTTGTTTTACAGTTTATTTTTGTTTTATTTCTGCTTTTCGATTTGTTCGGAAATGCAAAGAACTGTTTGTTTATCGTCCTCGTTAAAATGTATCCGTTCGAAGTTGTTATTTTTTTTATTATTATTTATTAGCGACATATGTAATATTTTTAAAGAGAACTTTAATTGATGAAGGAATACTTTATATTAATAAAAGTCCAATGAACTCGCATATAGTGTTCCAATTTATTCAATAGAAAACGTGCATTACCTAAGCGGAGAGACAAAACACAATTGAAGCTGGCGGGTTTGTCTCTAGGGGGTCAGAGGTTAAATTGACTAAAACGAGAGTGAAATAAAACGTACCAAATAAACATGAATGGACATGTTTTATGTTTCGTGTACATGTCGAAAATAAAATTTTACTTTAATGACATCGTTTGTTTTTACTATTTAATCTTTGAATTTAATACATTCCTTACAAAAATAAAATTTCTTATTGATATTTTTCCACTTACTTTACAATTTAATAATAATATTTGAAAAAACATGCACGTCATCTGATTCGGAGGCAAAAATCGTTTCAGAAGGACTTTAAATTATGTTTTTATTTGAAAAAAATTAATAATCTAAATAAATTATTGAAAGAAGATGCAAAATTTATCAAACATAGAAAGTGGATTTGTGCACGCAGACAAAGATGTCCCATTTAATTTCCTGCACCTATATTTTATGTAACTTGCAATATGCATGAGGATCGATCTTTTT